CTTGCTGGGGACAGACAGGCCAGTCCAAAATGATGGAACCTCCAACCACCTTCTGCTTAAGCTGCTGCTTCACCTGTCTGAAGAGGAAGTGCAGGTGGCAGACAGGACTGGGAATCCATGTGCCCACCTCCTGGGAGCGATGGGGTGGCATTGTTATGGCCACTGGATAGTTGAAACGTGGATGATAGGCATTTAGTGTACCCTGGTATTTAGGGAATTGTTTGGAGTAAAATCATAATTATAAAAATTGTTTTGAAAAGAAAAAGATGGTTTTTGTCCTTTTCTATTAAGCCTGCCATTGGTGTTTTAAGGTGCTCAGAGAATTCTATTCGTGGGAATTTGGGAAGGACAAATGTTGATATGTGCACTGGAGAATTAAGACAAATGATAATTGAAAGAGATGATAAAAGCTAGTGGTTTCCATGGGGAAATAATCACAAACTGCTGTCACACTGATTCCAATAAGAACATTGCTTTATGTGAAATGTTTTTTAAACAGCTCAACCAAAGCATTAAGCCAGGGCACTTCCGAGGGCATTTATTTGTTGTATGTTTCTATTATATCCGCGTCTGAGACTCTTCAACTTATATTATTTACTATTCTAGCTGCTGTGTTTAGCTTCTCTGTGGTCAACACTCAGTTGGAAATGAGAAATATCAGATTGCAAGAAGGGTACTATTTGTGGATCCTTAAGATAATTCTATAGTTTCACCATATTGATTCACCATAGGGATTCACAATTACTCATCCGTGAAGTTCCTTTCATGTGTTACCCAGGTTAAATGCTACTTCTGTGTTGTAGGTGTCTCTTTAATGATGCTAGGAAGAGCTTTGATGTGCTTTTGGGCTTCTAGCAGTGGAGGCTGCTTCCCAAAAGCTGCTTTGTATTTTCAGGCATTTATTTTGGAGTGATACTCAGGTGTTCCATCTCTTTGTGTCCCCATCGTACCCTGTAGAGATTTCTGTTGGAGCCCTATAGCCTTCATTGCATTTGTTTGTTTACACAGCTGTGTCCTATATTAAATCATAACGCAGAGCCTGGCATGAGGCACAAGTGCCCGCTGAATGAATGAATGACTCTTTGGTCAAATCTCACTGCCTCTTTCCAAAGAATGCTGTGCAGGAGCCCTTCCATTCGTCCCCTCGCAGGCCCAACCTCTACCCTGCTCCCTGCTCTGCCCCTGGGAGGCTGACCTGCATGGACCAACCACACCCTCCCTCTTCTCTACCTTCTGTTTGGGTTTGGCCAACAGGAGACAGGAGATGGGTGGTGGGGCAGACAGTCAGGTTGGAGTATGTTACAGGATTGGCTGTGTTTCTCTATTAAAGGCCTTCTCCGTATGGTTTCCCCTGGGCTTGTCAGGGCTGCCTGGTGTTACCAGATACAGGTATTGCATTATTCCTTATTGGTTTCCTTATAACCTGTCCACACCTTTGTAAGTGGTCTCTCTGTTAAATTAGCCAGTTTGAACGAGCTCACTGGATCCTGCTGGGACCCCGACTGATGTGCCCAAGTCACCCAGGTGACAGCATTGGTTATATTCTAGGTATCATAGGGGTGGAATGATACCTTTCTTCACTTATCATAAGCATCACGGCCAACACTCCTGTAACAAAAGATAGGTTAACAAGAGAAAAACATAACAAATTTATTTAACCAAGGTTTTACGTGACATGGGAGCTGTCAGAAATGAAGACCCAAAGATCCAAGGAAAATGATCTATTTTAATGAAGAATGGACAGCTGTGTAGAGATGTGATTGGGCAAAAAGGGTGTAATCTAGCACTAATAGACTGAGTAGGGAAACCCAGCAAGGCTTGTCTATTTCAGATTCTTCTTGTCTTCTCTGCGAAGCAGTCCTCCCTCCTAGGAATGGAGCGGAACCCCCTCTGGAATGAGGGTATTCAAAGGAGAAGAGAGAGGGAGAGAGTGACCTTTCTATGGCTTGCTTTGGGGAAGAGGGTTCCTAGTTTCTTTTGACCTGCCTTGCAGAAGAGAAATTCTGGTTTCTTGGACTTGCTCCAGAGAGAGAAAGAGGGAAGAGAGACAGGCAGGATACAGTCACAGAGAACTTGCTCTTGAGGCCCTTTCAATGACCTTCGGTTTAAAGTTCTCAGCATGCCAAAGCGCCGTGCTTTGGGGTATCATGTTCTGAGCCCCAACCGTATCATAATCTGTCTCCCATGTATTATTTCAAGTAAACACCCACTTCTAGGCCAGCCTACTTCCGAATTGGAATCAAGCGGAGCAGGGGTTAGCACGCTACAGCTTGCAGGCCAAACGCAGCCTGCCTGCCGCCTGTTTTTGTAAATGGAGCTTTATTGGAACGCAGCCACGACCATTTGTTTATTTATTGTCTGCGGCTGCTTTTGAGCTCCAACGTGAGGAGTTGCAACAGAAACTCTGGCCTGCAAAGTCTAAAATATTGGCTATTTGACCCATGATAGCAAAGGTTTGCCAACCCCTGATTTACAGGAAAACCAAAACATGCGAACTTCATCCTTTTCATCATCGAGAGGCTCCTGGGCCAGATGCTGGGGGCAGGTTTGAGTGGTCCCACGACAGTGAAATGGGAGGTTTCAAGCCCCAGGCCTAAGTGCTCGTGGAGCATCACTGCCACTGGCTGTGGCAGCCTGGGAAGGCACTCGTCAGCGCGGGGCAGAGAGAGTGTGACCAAGCCGAACGAGGAGGCACGTGTGTTCAGATGTGTTCAATGTGTGATTTCAGAACAAATAATTTCCTGAAAAGAATGACTCTCCGGAATGTTTTAGCATTTCCCTATCAAGTTACTTTGTACCTGTCTGTCTCCCCCACTGGACCGTGAGCGCCTTCTGGGAGAGTCTGGGTTTTATTCGGATCTGTATTCACCAGGGCCTGGCATGGAGTGGCTGAGGCTCAGTAAATACTGATCGACTGAATGGTAATCAACAACTAACTCGGAAAAGGAAACATTAAATAAGGGGGTGGAAGGTAGTAACTGGACGATATATTAGTTGATGTTCTCCAGCTCTCTCTGACTAGAGTGCCTGCTCAACCTTCACACAGCAAGAACAGCCATGGGAAAGGCTGTTCTCTCAGAAAGGGGCTCCTCAGGGAAGAACGGCCATGTCATTTGTGGGGCCCAGTGTAAAATGAAAATGCAGGACCTCTTCTTCAAAGATCATGAAGAATTTCAAGACAGTGTCAGCAGAGCATTAAACCAAGCCTGGCCCTTCTAAGAGGGACAGGTTGCACACCCAGGAAGCCGGCCCTGCCCTATGGATTCCTGAACGAAAGGCAGCCTGTGAGAAATTGGGGAGGGTTCCTTCGGTCCGGAGGGACCGCATGGTGCTCAGCCACTGTGAGGGCAGCCCGGGCTGTCGGGATGCTAGGGCTGCGGGCTCTAGCGACTCTGCGATGGTGTGTGTCTGATAATGCCTAACCTAACACTCGATCACTTCCAAAGCGTTCGCAGTGATCTCAGACCCTCACACCAGAGTGGATTTCTCTTCCCCAAACCCAGACACCTGGCTGCATAATGACCAACCTGCCTGTTCCTGCCCTGCTCCAAGGCAGTTTAACCCCAAGTCACCTCTGCCACCCCAACATACCACATTTGTACTAAAGCATCTCAGGGCTAGCCTGTTTAGATGTTTCTCTTTTGGGTGACAGACACTTCCTGCCTAGAGAACAATGTGTATACATCAATGTTCCCTTTATCTTGTCCCCAGAACCCTCCCCTGCCCCTTTCCCGCCATGAGACGGGGTTTAGGGACCCATCCTAACCACTCTGCAGGATCCCTTGTGCTGTGACACCCCAAATCCTTCCTGATGCTAGACATCCACCCAGGCAGCTGCTGGAGCTTCTCCTGCCCCCAGCCCTTCCCACGCTGCATGCTGAGCCCTCCCCTCCCCTTCCCTTGGAATCATGGGGAATTTTCTAGAGATCTCCAGGTGGTGACAGCTATAGGTGGGGAGCTCTGGGCTCTAGCCAGTGCCTCCTTTTCATGGGAGGGGTCCCCATTTTTGCTTCTTCCAGACCACTGCCTTCCCCAACCCTTCATCCACTCATCCTTGCTGCAAAATGAGGCTAAGGAGTCATCCTAACCCCTCTGCTCATGGGAGCTCCTCCTGCTCCCTGCTAAAAGGTGGCGGCTACCTCACAGTGCTGGAAAGCCACCCTCCCCAGCCCTGGTGGTGACAACTCCTGGTCCTCGCCCTGCAGCCAGGTGGCATTACCCCATCACCCTGTGCCGAGGAGGATAATCGAGGGCCTCGAGCATTTCTTCTCCACACAGACAAGCCTCCAGCATCATGGTGCTGAACCAACAAAACTAGCCTGTAAGAAGGCACATGTTCTTTTTTTCCCCTCAAAGTTCTTTCTTTTCTTTCTTTCTTTCTTTCTTTTTAATTTGTATAACTTTAAGGGGGTACAAGTGCAATTCTGTTACATGGATATTTTGTGTGGTGGTGAAGTCTGGGCTTTTATTATATCCTCACCCAAATAATGTACATTGCACCCAGAACCCCCAACCTCCCACCCTTGGGAGTCTCCAGTGCCTGTCATTCCACTCTATGGCCGTGTGCACACATTGTTTAGCTCCCGCTGGTAAGTGGGGAGGCACGTATTCTTGAAGCTCTAAGCTTTGGGAAACTGCAGTAGATAAGGGAGTTTTTTTTTTTCTGAATGGGGCCAGCATCATGTCATATAAAGCCACCATTAAGGGAGAGCCTGATGGGGTCGAGTGGAGTTTGCCTTTGATCACAAGTGCGCAGTCAGACAGTCCCGGGGGCCTGTGCGATCTCATGCTTAGCCTGGGAGCTGGCTGTTTCGGGCCTCGTTTGTCTCCCTGTGACTAATGTGGCCTTAATGACAGCAGCTCCCTAAGAGCTCCCTGAGCCTGTGTGCACATTTTGATGACAGCTAAAGCAGCCTTGCCCCCATCTCACACTCTTCGTCCTTCCCTTCCCCACCACGCTCCTGGTTCCTGACGCTGCTTGTGTTGTGTGTCTCCCACAGGGTCCCAGGTGGCAGATCCGTCTCCAGCCTTGGGCAGGCCCTGCTCAGTCCCTGGACGAAGAAGCCTGGAGGTTCCTGAGATATATCAGCACCACCCAGGTTGTGTTTCAGGCTCACGGCGGTTTGAGAATAACGTAAAAGATTGGGATTGCCCCTTTGAAAGAAGGATTTGTCAGTGAGGGGCTGGGAAGTTTCTCAGCGACTCCTGGTAGGGACTTGATAGGGCTGTGATTTCGGCAGCATTGCTGCTTAAATTCATCCACTCACTGGAGGCAGATAAGATGCCTTCCATTTGCTCGGGCATCTTCTTCCTTCCAGGAGTATCATCAACCTGAAATGTTTTAATGATTCATCCCATAGTGTTCTGAAGATCCACTTTAGAAAATTGTTTTGGAAAACCATTTGAAGCGACAGATTGGTCCCCGTGAGTAGGCAGTCAAGTGTGTCACAAAACAAAACCATCATCTGGAGGTTCAAGTTCCATTTTGTATTTGGAGGAATTTGCCTTTTCACTCTTCTGCGGCAGATGCTTGGCAGCCAGGGACGTGCTAGGCAAGAGAGCAGAGGAGACTTTGCAGGCAGTGTGCTGAGAAGTTAATGAATCCAAAGGCTCTCTGTCCTTAGAGCAGTTTAAATCATTACTGAGCGCCGGCCTTTATTAGTGACTTAACACACTGTGGCAGCGCCTGCCCAGCTGCAGGCTGAGCCAGTGCCCCAAGCAGGCAAAGAGATTGTCCATTAAGGAGAGTCTATGGCTCTTGACACGTTAATCAGGAGGTTCCATTCCCAAGTTGCCTGATCCCAGGGGAAAGAGAGACAGAAGAGGAAATCAAGGCCCCAGGGAAACAGCCCTGCATGGAGAGGTGCTAGCAAATGAGGAGCTCAGACTGCCTGTGAGCTGTGCGGTGGGGCTGGGGGTGCATGGGGAATCCTGGATTCTTTTCGTCTCCCTCCAGCCTGGGCTTTTGGTATCCTACTTCTCTTCCCCAACCTCGCTTATCCATGGGAGAGAATATATTTCTAAATCTTCAGGAGTCTGGCTTAGGGGTAAAACAAAGTCCCATTTCGCTTATGATGTGGTCAGACAATCATATGGATTTTAATATTTGTCACCCAATCATGGAAGTAAAAGTTTATTGAATTAATCATGAGTGATGGGATGAATTGGTCCCTGTGCGGCACATCATTTTATCTTATTTTGCTGCTGCAAATTAATTTGGCAGACTTATGCAGACTTAATTAAAATACTGAAATTTTAATTTTACAGTTTGGTTTTACATGAAGGATAAGAATCTGGACCTCTTAACTGTCGCTATAAAAAGCCCTTAAAGGCCCTAGAGAAAAACAAGAGGTGTTAAATTTATGAGTTGAATTTGAGAACTATGGGCTTGACTCCCACCCGCCAAAATAAATTGACCTAGTGCAAGCCTCTAAATTCCATTGTATATATATTTCTTATTAATTTTCTGTAACTTATAAAAGGCATATTTACTTAGAAGCAGCTCTTGAGGCATGAAATGGTCATTTCAGGCCCTTCTTGGATCTTTCCCCGTGCTGTGGGCTGAGAGGAGAAAAATTCTTAAAAAACAAAACAAAACAAAACAAAGATGAAGCATTCTACAATGTGATGTTGTAAACCTGGGCGATTTACTTTGCTCCTCTGGCTCTCATTCGGATCCTGAAATGGAAGAGATTGTATCAAATTATTTCTGCCGTCCTAAGGTCCATCCCTTCCAGTTCTGTGGGCTTGTACTGTGCACAGAGTAGTACAGAATTGTTACTAACCAAGTATTTTTGAGAGCACACACATGGCCAGGAACCGTGCTAGGCCCTGGGGATATAGTCTATGCCCTCAAGGTTCTAACAAACTAGTTCCAAAGGCAGATAAGTGGATATATAATTATTATTCAGCTTGATGAGCGCAGTAATAGAGAATTGGTTGTTGAAGCTTACTGGAAGGATTTTTATCCTCCAGAAACAATGAGATAAAGTTTCAAACCTCACAATGGTTTTATAATCAGGGGCCATTTTATCCAAGTATGGGACTGTGCTTTGATGTACTTCTGGGTTACTAGGAGACCAGCAGTGGGAGCCATCAAAGATGACACTACGTGGTTCAAAATCACAATCTTTTACTAACCAAATGCTCCCTCCCTCTCTCTCCATGTAATGTACAGCTTTTGGAGGCTTTTGTGGCTTATGCCTCATTTAGAACTCATCTTGACAATGAAAGCCTGAAAAACTGGCAGAATATTAGAGTCACTGTTACCTAAAATTTTCACAGTTAGCAGAGTGAGTCATAATGGGCAAGGAAAAAAAAAAAAACCTCTGAAGTTATTAAAGTGAATTCCACCCCCATTGTCTTATGCTACTTTTTAAAATATAAAAAAAATTTTTTTCTCTCAAATTTGTGTTCAAGCTTGTACAGCAAGGCCCAGCATTTGACATGTTCATCGTTGATTTATTCATTCTTCAATTCAGCAGGTATTTGCTGAGCACCTGCTTTGTGGCTGGCACTGTGCTGGCCACTGGGATGTCAAACCTGAATGAAACACTCACACACACTGGTAAATAGCAAGGGTAAGAGAACTATGTGTTCTCTAACAGGGGGTGTACAGATGGGTGAGGAAGGCTTTCTAGGCTGAGGGAACATGGGAACAGAGGCTCAGGGCATGGGACGGCCTGGCAATAGAGAGCAATGGGTGTGGTACCCTTGGGCATGTCCATCGTAGTGACTTTGGGGGCATGGCTGGGGCTACACTCTTCTTAGCGAAACACCAGACCAGAGGAAATGGTATTTGGGTAGAGTGTGCAGAACATCAAGCTCAGGTTAGTTAGGTACTATTGTTTTTTCTAATGTGAAAGACTATGATGCACAGCAAAATTCTGCAGTTGATGATACACTGTCTGCCGCTGACACGAAATGGTTAAATCACAAACACAGCACTCTGTTCTAAAGGGAAGGCTCCAGATCCAACTTTTTATGTCAACCCCCAAACCATATGCCTCCAGGAAGCATGCCTCACAGTACAAAATTAATCTAAGCAATGGTGGCTGTTTTAAAAAGGAAAATAAATATTTAAAAGCCTGTTTTTCTGTTTGTTCATCCATCCATCCTTCCATCCATCCAGCCATCTACATAGTTATCTACACATCTATCTATTTGTAAGAATAACCTAAGAAGCCAGGCTCTGGAGATTGGGACTACAGCTTTACAACGATAATATCTATTATATTTACTGCTACACACACATACACACACACACGTGCGTGCACACACACACACACACACATTCCAGGATAAAAACAATAAAAATACACTTCTGCCCTTGAGCCTTTCAAAAATAATGGTACTGTATAAATATACAGTTGATCATTAAAGGGATTCTTGCCAAAAGTTCCAAAATTTTAAGGGCTGCCTTTGCCAGATTCTACTTATGGCTTGGCAGAAATGCTATGCAAGCTTTTGGGATCCAAAATGAAACAAAAATAAGTTAGATCCCTTTAAGTCCAATAACTAAAAAACATTTCAGAAAGTATTTTTTCCTGGAGTTTATTTTCCTTTGTCCAGACCTAATTTGCTTTATATGGCTAAAATTACAAGAGGAATTAGACAGAGAACATAATTAGTTGAGTTAGAGCTTAGCTAGAAGTTACTACTCTCACTTATTTTGCTTACGAGAGAGTTTATTGAAGCCCTGGCCATAAATCTTAACTAGAAAGTTTGAAAAAAATCAATATTTAATTAATTTTTAGAGGGAGAATTTTTATGGAGGACTTTTAGTTGTTTTCAAAAGCTAATGACTATCAATGAGATGGTTAATAAATGGTTAAAACTGAATAACTCCTGTGTTTTATTTTTGAGCTTAGAGAGGAAGGGGGAACATTGTCAGAGAGACTGAGTGGAAAAGAATATCTCTCCACCAGGGATATATCTGTGCAAGATGAAATCTGTAGAATAATTAGAAATGCTTAAAGTAGAAGAGAAGAAAGCCCTAGTCCTTGACTTTGGCAAAGGAGGAGTGGCTGGACCTCCAAGCCCTGACTCTTGGCCCTTAATATTTACCTGGCTTTTGGAGGCCTCTGGCTAGTTGTTGGTGCCAACCTCTTTCAAGCAGTGGTCCCCAACCTTTTTGGCACCAAGGACCGGTTTCATGGAAGACAGTTTTTCCACGGACCGTGGGTGGGATAGGGTGAGTGTGGTGCGGAGCTCAGGCCCTGGGGTTGGAGACCGCAGTGTTAGGGGTAGCGTAAGAGGGGCTGCTGTTTTCTGTTTAAAGCTCTGGCCCAGGAATAGCTTCTTCTCAGTAAGAGAAGTAATTGCTAAGGCACAGGTGTGACCAGGCTGGAACATTTTGCAGGGGCTTTACAAAAGGCCTGCAATAAACTCACAGGGCCACCTGCATAAGAATTACCTAGGGAAGCTTATCAAAATGCATGTTCCCAAATGTCAGCCTCCAGGAGTCTGCTTTTGCATATCTGGAATGGGACCCACAATCTGCATTTTAAGTATCTCCTAGGTGATTCTGATGCAGGTGGACCACACCTTGAGAAACACTGTGAAAAAGGCTAGAGTAGGTTTTGATGGTATTAGGAGGGAATTATGAACAAGGACCGGTGAGCATCCATATCCTGATCTATCACATGGAGGTTCTCAGGGAGAAGGGCACACAAAGAACAATAGCAATGGGAATCATCATACCACTTTCATAAAAACACCCTGGGAAGCTTCCCTGGAGCAAATGGCTTAGGCTTCTGAGGTCCAGGCATGCTGTGGGGGCCCATAGAACTGCCCTGGATTAAGTAACTTCCCGCTGGAGGCGCATGGAGCAGAGGGCTAGGGAAAGTGCTGATATTTAAGGCACAGTAATCTGCCCACTGGTAGAACAGGCCCAGTGAACACTCTGAGCTCTGACTAATTAGATTAGCAACTTCTCTTCCCTTGAGTGGGTGGGTGAGGAATGGGAGGTGGGCAGGCAGAGACATAATTTCCATTTATCTGTGGGAGAATAGTAGGAGATGAATTATACAAAATAACATGCTGATGCTCCCTGCTAATAAATGTATTCTGTAGTAGTTGCTTGAGAAAAGACTCATTCCATTTTCTGTTATTATTTTTCCCTTTAAACAATGGTTGGACATAGAGAAGTAGAAAGATACTGGTTGAAGGAAAAGAATATATAAGGGTTTCACTTTTTCAACTTTCCTCTAAGATGTCTAAATCCTAGCAGAAGAGTCTCTCATTGTCTCTGATAAATAGTGCCGGGACGATTTTGTCAGGCCAGCCCTAGGTTTTAGCAAGAGTAGTGCAGATGCTATATTAGTAGCTGAATAGGCTCTACATAATATGCGCTTCTTAGATTAAAATTTGGGCAAGTCAGTTAAATAAAAGGATTAGGAAAGCCTAGGATGTCTGCTTAAGAAGAATATTGCTTGCTGCTATGTTTTCCAATGAGTGAAAGCAGTGAACCTCAAAACATCTGGAATGATCTTTCATCAGTGATGTGCTAGCAAGAGCTGCTGCATTCATGGAGCATCATGATGACTGTGGGAGTTTTGAGGGATTCGGGGGAAATACTGTTGCTCGGTAAGGTAAATATCTTGTCCACAGAACTTATTTTCTCTGGTTCCCACAGCCTCAGCCTTGCAAAATGCACCAGCCTCAAACACAAGTCAGAATCCCTTATGAAGTGTATTTGCTTAATGTGCAGTTGAAATTAGAGACTTGCTTCTGTTTGACTTGGATATACATTCTCTTTGGTTTTCTTATCTAATTTTGATGGATGAGTTAAGAGAAGTGCTTTGGTTAGCTCAGGAAGTGCTTCCTGCCTGGGGCTCTTGCCCTCCTTCCTCGGGAGGAAGCTCATTAGAGCAGTAAGTCACAAAGCACACTGCCTTATCAGCAGGGACAGCCTATTAATTTCACTTGACCCATGATCAGCTGTTTACTTTGGATAACATCTGCCACCTTTCTGAACCTTAGTGGCCCCACCTTATCTGCCTGAAAGAAGGAATAGATAATCTTGTGAGTATCCTTCTGAGATCTATGCCTATGATTGTATCTTGCATCTTGTCCTAGGGCCACTGTGGGTAGCAAAGACGTCTATGCTTTGTGAGCACTGTCCTCTGTGTCTGGAATGCCTCTCGGTCAACTTCTCTTCATCCTTCAAGACCAACACACCTCTGCAAAGCCGTTCTGACCCCTCTTCCCTCCCGTCTTTGCCCCTGATTTGTTCTCTCCTGTACACCCTGTGCACATGGCTGTAGCTGCTCTTAACTTCCCTTCAAGCCTGCATACGGTCTCCACGAGGTTACTTATTATCTGGTAATTGAAATCCCTCCACACATTTTATAGCAGTCTGTGGTTCCCTGGGGAGGGGAGTAGTTAGCTGTGGAGAAGGATATAACTCTCCTATTATGGTTTTCAGGGACTGGGGAAGCAGTAAGTTCCTACCTGCCATTTATCATCCAGCGTTTTAAATTATTCACATTGATTTCCAATCCTACAGATTGCATGCGATCACATGAATACAGACAACCTGGCTACTGATGCCAGCCCTGCACAGAAGCCCTGGTCGGTGTGTCTTGATGACAGATTTGGCTTAGCTCATCAAATCCACAGCAAGCAATGCCGCCTCTACTCTTTAGGGTGAGTATATTTTTCACAGCAGAAGAAAACACAGACTCTCCTTTAGGCAGCCGAGGCTTCTTCAGCAACACAAGGTTAGGAGTGGTTGCAGCATATAACAGGTGCTGTGCTTTGCATCCTGACATCGTTTCAGACTGATCTCTTTCTTATGCAACTGCAGGAATGTGCAGATAACAGATGCCTCCTTGTCTGGAGCCACTTTCCCCCCATTCTGTTGGTAGTAAGTTGGCAGCTCCAGTTTTCAGCATGAAGATGATCCTCTTGGTGAAACCAATGATACTGAGAGCATCCTTATTGTAATGAGAGAGAAGAATATTAATGAGCACAGCCAGGAAAAAAAAGGATGTTAGAAATTTTATACACAGTTATGAGTGACCCAAGACAAGTAATGGCCACTGCTGATGTTTATGTTTTGTATAAATGATAAATCCATATATAGTTTTACATTTTTTTTTTAACAAAAGGGACCTCCTATGAAAACCATGTGATTTTGTCAAAACTATTTGGAAAAAATTGATATTCAGTTATTCAGGTTGAAAATGACCTGGATGTACAAATGGATTTAGAGAGAGTTTTACAAAGAATGAATATAAACTAATGAGACTATTTCATCAAATATGCCAGTACTTATATAAACTGGCCTGAACTTACAAATGTTAAATGTTTCCAAAAAAAGGTAGGAGGAAATTATGTTTTGTTTGGAACACCCTGTTCCATAGACTCTTTGTAGGAGCAATGTAGATTCTCAGGCTAGACCACTGAAGTCCTTTACAAACAGTACTGGGGAACCCAAGGAGTGTCACATGCTTGTTCCTCACCTGTAGGCTTTACCACCTCTACAGGCTACATTCAGGCCCAGGTATGATAACCACCAACCATAATCCTAGGTGGTCAGGGTTAGGTGCTGAAGGGATCACCAGTGCTGTCAAACTATAAGCAAACAAAAATTACTAGTCATTGTGGATTTTTTTTAAAGATTCAAATAAGAATTTAAAGATAGTGGGAACATTTTTATGTGGTTTAAATGAAGAGCAATGGTATATGTCGGTGGGGCTTTCACACAGTAGGCCCTCAACATGTATTTGCTATTAAAGGATTGCTTGAAAGGAGAAGACTAGGGAGGGAAGCTGGTTATGCTTTGCTTTAGATGTGGAGGCTGTGAATTTGAAGATGAGATGCTCTGCCAGTTGATTAGAACAGAACTCTTTCCGGGAGGCCACCAGCTATGCTTCGAGATTGTAGGAAGGATGGGAAGTTGTGACAGCAGAGTTTATTTTATGTCACATTAAAAATGTATGAAAGTAGGTCATAAAAATAATTGCATAGTACCACATGCAAATTGGAAATCTCAGCTTGGTCCTATTTTCCTGCTCCAAAGTGCCTTTATATTTTACTTAATATTTTACACCCTGGAATAATTTCATTTAAAGTGTATAACTGAATAAAATAAAACTTGGAAAGCTTTGGGGAACATTTTTAAATTCCTTTTTGCTTTCCTTGTACTTCGGAGCTGTTAGATAAGATAATTCTGCAGTAAAGTTCATATTATTACATGTAAAAAAGTAGCTTATCATTTAAAAACATTTTTATTGATGCATAATATTTTACATATTTATGAGCTACATGTGTTATTGTGTTACATGCATAGAATGTGTAATGACCATGTCAGGGTATTTAGGGTATCCGTCACCTTGAACATTTATCATTTCTATGTGATGGGGACATTTCAAGACCTCTCTTCTAGTTACTTTGA